AGAGAATGAATGTGTTACGGAGCGGGTTGTCCCAGCCCGTGAGACATGTATTTACTTGGCATAATGTACTGTCTTGTTGTGCGTTTGCGTGAGTGCACCTTTAAGTCTAACTTTTGTAACGTCTACTGCCATTGTTAACGACCAAGACAAATTTCTCCCTGCGAGATGAATAAAGATTGTCATTGTCATTGTCATCATTGTCAATGCCCACGGCGCTTTTAATCTTCTGTGACGACAATGAATTTTCAAGAAAACTAAAGAAAATGTGGAGTCGGTGGCCTACTTGCTTGGCTACTGGACTCGTAAACGTGAGATTGCGGGTTCGGGGTTCGAGCCTCAGCTCAGTCCGACGTTGTGTTTTTGGGAAATGCACTTTGCATGAATTTCCCATTTGGCTCAGCCCTTTCGGAGACAGACGTTAAACTAGAAGGTCCTGCCTCTTAAATAATCTAATAGTGTTGACAGATGCGTTAAACCAATGCCATTTCACCATTTTTATAAAGAAAGATTTAGGTAGCGCCTGGCGAAATCTGGCCTATCTTCTCGGGGTAAGGGAGATCACGTGAGATCACAGGACAACGGTATCATTCATCACAGTATCTGTCCGGAGACGTCTCCGACGGAGATAGACCAATCAAAATGCTTTGTGCCTCTGGACCAAGTAAAAAAATCTGCCCCCCTTTTTTTAACCCATAATTTGATATTTTGCTGTTAGGTCTGAATTTTTTTGGCAAATAATTGATTTGTGACTGTTTTAGTGGCGTCTAGATGTGTGATCTGCAGCAAACAGTATGCAGTTTAACCCCCAAAGCAGTGCATCTGTGTGCGGGAGTACGTCTCCGAATATCTTCTGCCGTCACGCATCATCGACTGCAAGATCTGCCGCAGACATAATCGGCGATCATGGTTCTCCATTCATTCCTTTGCCTGGATGCTCTAAAAAACAAAACTCCCACATTATTCTTATCTTTCCCCGTCACCCATCTCTATTGTCTGCAATAGGGTTTGTATTATAAACATGCCACTGTAGGTGGTTGGTGGGTGCTCTGGTGTGGTTTGCCTCTTCTTTCCTGTCGAACATCTATCGTCCTTTTTCTCCCCTCCTTCTTTTTTGTGTTTGTTACTCTTTTGTGACACCTCTAATCTTCGGCACTTATATGACCTTATTGTGTTTCAAATGCCGTAAAACAATTACTAAAGCTAAAAACTAAAAAAGAGTCTGCGCAGCATGGGCAAGGGTAGACATTTACGTGTTAGCCAGTTTTCTATTTGTAGATGGCACCCGTGACCCCTCGGCTCCCTGACCTCTCGCTCACGTCGGCTGACCTGACCCCGGTCACGATATACCTAGTCTACCTGTGGGCGCTTGGCCCCTCCGACAGACGCCCACGCGCGATGTTATGTGTGTGTGTGCGCGCGTGTGTGTGTGTGTGTGTGTGTGTGTGTGTGTGTGTGTGTGTGTGTGTGTGTGTGTGTATGTGTGTGTGTGTGTGTGTGAAACGACAGACTAGTCTACATTTGACCTCGAATCATAAATTATAAGCGCTCGTAGCTGATATTATACTTTTTAAAATTTTGGAGGTGGCGTTTTG